TAAACAGTGAACAATGTTTGAAGCTGAGAAGAAATTGAATCGAAGGTGTATGCTTAAAGCTAAACTCATGTACAAATAATACTGACATCAATATTAACAACAAGACACCATCATAATCACAACTAGGCTCTATACAACAATGTTCGAAGCAGAGCATGACTTATTGATCAAATTGATAATGACTTTACTTCAAATGTTTCGATATCCCTTGAAGTAATACTTAAAAGTATATTTAATAGTTAAATGACACCATCAGCAGAAGGAGCCAATTGAGTACGTGATAAACTTTTTTGACCTCTAAATTTTAATCACCTAGACTTAATAAGAATAGTTACAATCAAAGAAGAGAGGTGAATACATTCACTGCTATGATAAAGGGAAAGCAAACAAAGAGAATGGCCAAAGCTTTTGCCTCCATTTACGGACCTTGCAAGGTGTAATATCTCAAGTTAGGCCACACAAAGCAAGGGAAATTAATGAGCAAATCTAAGAAAGATAAGAAGAAAGAAATACATACCTTCTTGCAAGTGTCACTTTTTTTCAACTTTTTCAAAGTTACGAGATGTTTTCTTTCCTCAGAATTATCACTTCACAGGAACATATAAAATTCAAAGAATCATCAATTATAGAAATTTGTTTCAACATGCACATCTCTAACCAGCCACGTGCATTAAATTAGGTGGGTGTACCGAGAGAATGAGATAAAAAAAAGTACCTAATGCAAATAGTCTTGAAAGTCGACAATGAGAGATTCATCCTCAAAATCTTCATTAGGCGGAACTTCAAATAACCAATCTCTGGTGCATAACTCGGCCTCTACACTTTTAGGCAAAAGGGAACTTCAATATTTATTTAAAATGCGTCCTCTAATGCTAAAGGTCGACTCTAGGGCAACAATAGTGATAGGAATGCTTAATATATCACGTGCTATGAGAGACAACCCGAGAAATTAATGTGAATTAGCCTCCAATAATAAAGAATATTGAGATCAGGTAATGCTTTCTATCAAGTCTATTCTCCCTCAAATACAAATCCAATTGTGACCTACTAGATTTCGAGTCAAAGTGTTTACTCAAGAATACATCACACTCATCCATATCGTCCCCAATGTTCTCAACAATGTCCTCAACTGAGATATTATATCCATTTCTTGAAGATGTAAAGTGATTATCTCTTGACATAGAGATCACATACTCATCAAAAAGCAAATAGAGCTTCTTCCGAATGCTTAGTATAAATTCCACATGATTATCCATATCCAACTTTGAATAGCAAAACTCTAACAAGTGTAGCTTAAAGCGAGAATCTAATAGGACAGCAAAAGAGAAAACAACACTATAACATTTCCAATATTTTTCAAACTTTTTTAGCATTGAGTAGCCATAAAACTAATAGTTTCGTTTGATAAATGCGAGGAATAATAAGGATGAAGCTATTAGTTCTATGGCTACGACAATGCTAAAGTAGTTAAAAAAATATTGGAAGTGTTATAGAATTGTCTTATCTTAGCTGCCACATCAGATGCTCGCTATAAGATAGACTTGCTAGTGCTTTGCTATTTGAAGTTAGACATGTATGATCATGTGGAATTGTGTACTTTCCCTTTCAGGAAAAGCTCTATATGTTCTTGTAGAGAGATGATAATTTTACATCTTCAAGTGGTCGAGATAATATTCCAGTTGAGGACGTCGTGTAGAACATTGGAGACAATATTGATGAGTATTATGTATTCGTGAGTGAACACATTGGCTTGCAATCTATTAAGTCACAATTGGATTGTATTTGCGGGAGAATAGGCTTGATAGAAAGCTTTACTTGGATCTCAATGTCCTTGATTATTGGAAGGCTAATTCACATCGGTATCCCGAGTTGTCACTCATGGCACGTGATATATTGAGCATTCCTCTAACTAAATGTGTAGAGCCCAAGTTGTGCACTAGAGATTAGCTATTTGGAGTTCTGCCTAAGGAAGATTTCAATAATCAATCTCTCATTGTCGACTTTCAAAACTGTTTGCATAAGATATTTCTTTTTTATCTCATTTTCTTGGTTTACTCACGTGATTTAGTTCACCTGACTGGTTAGCGATGTATATGTTTAGTACAAGTTTCTACCATTGATGATTCTTTGAATTTTCTTTACTCCTCTAAAGTGATATTTTGAAGAAAGAAATAAAACATCTCGTACCTCGAAGAAGTAGAGAAAAAGTGACGACTGCAAGAATGTTTATATTTCTTTCTTAGATTTGCTCATTAAGTTTTGTTGCTTTTGTGTGGCCTAACTTGATATATTAGGTTGCAATTGTGCAAACCTTGTAAAGCAAGAAAATATTCACGGTTTTCTTGATGGTGGTCCTTCCTTGAAGGCACTTGTGCAGAGCTTTGGCCATTCTCTAAAGTTGCTTTTTTTTAATCATAATAGTGAATCATGATCACCTCATTCCTTTGACTGTAACTATTCTCATTAAATCTATGTGACTGAAATTTGGAGATCACGAAAGTTTATGTTGTATACTTGGTCTGCTCCTTCTATTGATGGCGTTTTATAAACTATTAGATTTACTGTTAATTATTGATTCGAGCTTCGAGGGATGTCGAAACATTCGAAGCAAAGGCATTATCGATTTAATCCACAAGTTATGCTCTACTTGGAATACTGCTGTATCGACGATATGAGTTAGATGCTTAGCCCGGTTGTAACTATGATGGTGTTTTGTTGATGATATCGTTGTTGGTGTTATCTATACCTATGTTTAGTTTTTGTGGATTTGATTTAGCTTTTAAGCACAAACCTTCAATTCAAATTCTTCGTAGTGTCAAACATGAGATGAGAGAAAGTCAGTAGGAAAAAAAATTATTTGTGAGAAAGGAAGCCTTGAGTTGGGCGCGTAAGGTTATGGGCGGTGTGGGTTTTCGATGGATAGCTTTTTCAATCTCTATCATAAGTTTGAGAGATCTGAATCTTGTGTTTATGGGCGTGTATGCCCCAGCTTTGATTGCTTTTCACCTTTTCATATAATTCCCATTTTTTTTATACCATTGACATTGATAGTTGTAAACAGATAGACAGTGTGCATTGATGGATAGCAACGGTAGTTAAGCAAGCAATGCCTCTCTTGTGGCTTGTTGCTTTGCGCTGCGATTATGAAAGGGATGGGCCATAAAAAAAAAGCACAAAATTGGCCATTCACTTTTGAATATGGCGAGTTTAATGAGGTAAAAGAAATAGCTCATTGTTTAGGTGACGATGATTATGATTCATTGATAGAATGGGGGTCGAGTGTATGGAAAATAATACGAAACGATGACTTAGACGTTGCTAGTGTCAAGCTAACATCCTCAATGCAAACATCCTTATTTAATGCGAGAATTGGGCCAAAGATTGGACTAATTAGCCTAACCTTACTCCTAAAAATTGGAGGCTGGACTGGTTACGGCCGAAGCTGAGATTATGCAAGCTGATACAACTCGGGAGTATCAATTTCCAGCGATTGACCGGAAGAACTAACGATCAAGACTGAAACATAGACAACATTAAGGAATGTTTGGCAACCAAATTGTGGAATACTTGTTATCATGTCCTTGAGCATTTGTGTTGTATGTGTGTGTATACACTTTACTTGTAAGGCTCGGTCCAGCCTAATTGGCCTGGGCAAGGCCCGTCCAATCCGAAACATGATATATTCTTTTTTTTCTTGTCGATGTTTAGGCCTGGAAAAGAGTTAGGCTCCGCTCTCGAGGGCAACAGCGTGAACCCTCCCAATGATCACCTCCATTTCATTGACCTTGTTTGCAATATGCATCTTAAAATTTGTACAATCAAGGGGAAAATTGCGCAAGCATAGGAAGATTAGATAGTGGTTCATTTTTTTTACAAAAAAAAAATAGTCGTTCATTTGATTTTTTTATTGCAGTGTGCTTCCAATTTTCCACAATGATCCCTCATTATACTTTTTCTATTTTACCCATTTTTTTGTCTTATATATATGTCTAATTATTTGAAAGATAAGTAAGGGAAATCCTCATCTCTAAGTCAAACTTTATTGTACAAATCAAAATTTTCTAGATAGATTATTCATAATACTTTCATGAAGTAATTTTCGGTATTAAGATTGAAATTAAGGAGGGAATAAATTGGCAATACTAATTGCAATATATTGATTGACAACTTTAATTAGTAAAATGTATATCCATATAAGAGAAAACCATTAATCTGATATTCCATAGCATGTTTCTTTTATAATTTCCTTACGAGTATTTCAACCTTTTCTTTTTCTCTTTATATTTTTTTCTTCAAGTGTTTCAACTTGACCGGCGCGAAACAAAATGGGCAGTTGAAGGCTTAAGCTGTCATATTCCTTGGTCAATATTATATATCCTCCAAGAAATTCAGCATGAGTTTTGGCTGTTCATCTTGTTCCCGCAATGCCACCATTTTCCATGGTTTGACATGTTGTATCTATCCATCGTATACATGTATATGACATTTTCTTTTGGTCTTGTCTATTCTAACTTTCAACTCTCTCACTTGCTCTCTATGAGATTAATCGAAACCCACACTTAAAACTAAACGTTCGCACCCCCAACTCCCGAGAAGGTGGGGATTCGAACTCCCCAATGGGAAGGGTGGCCACTGGGGTTTGTATATGACATTTAGCTAGCTTCATAATGGTATAAATACATCACAAGAGGAGGTCAACTTTTGAACCTCCGCTCCATACACATACGTACGTATGCACGGAGATAAGAACATTTGAAGGCAGGCTGTGATTAATGGGTCAAGCAGGTAATGGTTTTCTCTCTTATTACTTGGTTTCTTATTTCTTCCGTTCAAATTTGGCCTACTGACGTCGCTCTCTTATCCTTTTCTGTCATCAATTTGGTCTTATTTAATGCCGGCTTTGAATAAGTCCTCACGTTCCCATGCATTACATTACACTTTCAATTACGTCTTTCTCCCTAATTTATTCGAATTCAAACCGCTCATGCTAACCTTGATTCCAGGAAAGAAACCCCACAAGCCAAAGCCCTGTTTTTTAAAGCCGTCCAACCACTCTTTATATACTCATATGATCTTTCTCGTGAAACTCACACCCGAAACGTGTACCAAAGAAAAAGAAAAGCTTCTCGTTCTTCTCGTTCTTCGTCTTCTCCTTCTTTCTTGTTTTTATTGCTCTCTCGGGGAATTGCTCAATTGTGCAATTTGAAGAAGCCATGAGGAGCACCAAAGCGGCCAGCAAGCAAAGCAAGATCAAGCACGTGATGACGGCGCCCTTGAGGATCGTGAGCAAGGCCCGGAACTTCTACATGAGAAGCATGGAGGACTTGGCCGGCAGGGTCGGCCAGGGCGGTGGAGTCGGTGGCCCCGCCGCTCCGATCACGACGCTGCCCAAGAGCTTCAGCGTGAACTCATCCAAGGGGAGCAATGACGACGAGGACTTCCGGGAGTTGGTGAGGGCCGTTTCGAAGAGGAGAGGCTTGGACATGACGGGTTTCGAGTCGCAAACCGGGTACGGGTCCAATAGCGGTAGCAATAATGTTTATGGTGTGGACAGGAGCCAAAGCGTGGGGTTGGGGAAAATTGGGAGGATTGATGAGAACATGGCTTCTGACGAGTTTGAGGAAGATAGGCTGAAGCTGAAGGCCGATTTGGCGTTCCCAAGAAGCAGAAGCCATGCTGTTGGCAGGAGAAATGTCGGGTTCTATTAAATGCAAAAGGGCCAGAAACTTTGGTGGACATAAGATGTTGGAATTGGTGAAGATCAAAATGTACATAATAAGAGTTTGTGGGAGCGTCTGTTTCGACTTTTGTACCTTCGTGGTTTGGATCAAATTTGCGATTCTTTCAGTGCAGGTCTTCTCTTTGTTTTCATGGTTGTCGTTGGAAAGGTGTCGCTGTTAATGCTACTCGATCAATGGTGTTTTTGTTAAGGGTACTTTGTCTTTCCATTCGACCTCATGGATCATAATGGCACAAAAATAAACGAACATATATCTAATGACAGTTCAGAGAATATTAGGTAACATGTCTCCGTCAAGCTCTTTTCATTCTTGCACAGAGAAATTCTGGGCAATGGATCATTCTTATTGTAGTAAATCAATGTGAATTATAGTAAGCTGTTTCTTTCTAATGAAAATGGCAGCACGTTTCGCTTTCATTTACCAACATAGAAGACGTGTCATCGCATTTCACCAAGTGGTGTACCAACCTAGGAGTACCGTACCCCTCGATGTGCACCTTAGAAAATCCGATGCGCTTGAAGCTTCCACATCGCATTTCAAGGGTTTTCTTGGTGTGTGTATAAGGTGAGTACTGAGAGTAAAAAATTGTAATTTTGAAAATTCTATTTTTTTGATAATTGGCACAATACTCACACCAAAGCTATGAACAACCAAGAAATCACTATAGATTGGCAAATTTTGCAATTTGCTCTCTTCTAATTGCGGATTCGATTATTCATACAGCTCCAACAAACTATCTGAAATTGCTATGCGTCTAATTGAGGGAAAATTGTCTAAAAAGTTCAAAACATATTGCACTTTTACCAATTCAATCATAAACTTTTAATTTTGCTAACTGACTCCTAAACCTTTTCGCTTCTTACAAATTGAGTTCTAAACCTTTTTATTTTTTGCCAATTGACTCATAAACCTTTTCATTTCTTATTAATTGAGTTCATCAGGCTAATTTTGACCGGAATCGCTGACGTGGACGTCAGCCGGCCTGCGTGGTGCTGATGTGGACAATTTTTTTAATTATATTTTAATTTTTTTCTATTCTTTTTACTTTTTATCTTTTTCTTTTTTTTTCCTCCCCTTCTTTCTCCTCCAGCCAATTGCCGATTGTTGGCAAACGGCCAGAGGGGGGAGGGCTGGCGAGGTCGACCTTGCCAATCTCGGGCGAGGCTCGACCTCACCGGCCCTCCCCTCTGGCTAGTTGTTGACACTCAGTGACCGTCTGGAGGAGGAAGGAGGGGAGAAAAAAAATAAATAAAAAGGAAAAAGAATATAAAAAATAAAAATAAAAATAAAAAAATTCGAAAAATATTAACATATTATTATAATTATCCACGTCAACGCCACGTAGGCCGACCGACGTCCACGTCAGTACTTTCTGGCCAAAATTGGCCGGATGGACTCAATTGGTAAGAAGTGAAAATGTTTAGAACTCAATTGACAAAACTGAATGGTTTAGAACTGAATTAGCAAAAGTGCAATAGGTTTAGGACGTTATGGACAATTTTCCCGTCTAATTGACGATCGATCTTCTATTTGGGATTGCATATTATCACTATCACCAGCATCATCATTCATGATCTTGAAGTAAGAACAGGGACAAAAAGCCGAAAAATAACTGCGGATAAGAACAGTAATAATCTTGTTATTGCTGCAGATATGTCTTAAGCTTATGAGCAATTGAAATTCTTAGGAAGTTCTTGCTGCATCCGCTCAAGAGTTTTCTATTTCCAAATTCGGAAGTACGTATCATGTGTCAAAGGAAACAATAACGTGTCCTGATTCAGTTACAATCTCTCCACCACTCGCTCATCAAGCAAGATCAATTCTTTCCAAAGAGAAAAGATCACGATGACGTGTCTTGATTCAGCTATAATCTCTTCACCACTTGCTTATCAAGCAAGATCAATTCTTTCCAAAGAGAAGAGATCATGATTTTATTCTTCATTAATTCCGTAACCCTAGCTTGTATTATATAAAGACATCACAATGCGTAGCCGAAGAATGAAACAAAAAAATTCTATTACTAAAACACAAAACACTTATTGGTAATTGCCACCCATTCTCATCTTGTTAGTTCATTGCTTTACATCATGAACTTGCAATTGAGTGCGTTCTCGGCTAATTCGTCACCAGTTTTCTTTGGCCGGTGGCTGCCAATTTATCATTAATTAGTCAAGGTTAATTTAGCTTCTATTGATCTTCCGTTTCGCTTGTCAAATCCTCTCTCTCGGTCAAAGCCAATGCAAAAGTTTGTAAAAATAATGTAACTTGACAATGGGTCATCAATCGTCATGACTGATGAATAGGTACGGAACTACAGAGGGAGTTAAAGGCCAGAATAATTTCCTATGGTAATAAGAAAGCTCTCTCTATGATTTTGATCTTTACAATATTTCAAGATATAGGAAAAAACTGTACAAAATAGACGTGGTCTTTTTTTGTTAATCACGAAGAAGATCCTAATTCAACGTAGCTATAAAGACCGCTGATGGGTCAACCCTTAATAAGTTATTCGTTTTGCACGTTTTCTTGTGTTCTTTTCAATTCTGCCAGCTTTACATTCTTCTGTTAATAGCGTTCTTCAAGTCTCGTTTGACATTTCATATGTGGAAACTTCTGGAAAAGTCATACACAGGCCACGTCAACGTTCCTATTCTATCAATCATCGCCGTTACATCTAAGCTGCATTGATGTTAACCTCGTGAGGCTATACAGGCCAAGACCCAACACACCTTCATTTGTACTATCAAGTCTATCATCATGTTGAACTTTCTCTTCAAGCTCTCGTAGCTTGAACAATCAAACCCTAATCTTGTGCTCAGTCTTATCCCGTTTCTAAGTTATAGTTTCTCTACCAGCACGTGCGCACTAGCGAGCAAAAATGGCGGCATCTAAGCAAAGCAAGTTCAAGCATGTAATAGGAGCACCCGTTAGGGTTTTAAACAAGGTAAGAAATCTCTACATGAATAGCTTTATGGATTGCGCAAATAGGATTGATTACAGCGGACCTGCCGTTGGAGGTCCAACTGCTCAAGTGCCAACTCAATTGCCCAAAAGTTTCAGCATCAACTCCTTGGCGAACAATCATGACTTACTATGTACGAGTTTGTCTCGATCGGTTTCAAGGAGTGAAGTTGAGAAACCGGGAATCACGAGCAAGAATTGTCCAGCAAATGCTATGCAATCTAATTATGCAATGGGAATAAGGAGTTACAGTGTTGGAATAGGTGTGATAGGAAGAATTGATGAAGATGAGTCTTGTTCTTTTGAAGAGGATAAGGGAGACTTCTTGTACCCTAAATGCAGAAGTTATGCTACTAAAAGAAAGGTCGTGTATTACTAACTTTCCACACATGCATGGCTCAACATGTATGCATTGTGTTGATCATATATATGACCTGATTTGGTGGTTTAAAGCTCGAGTGATTTTCTGATTGCGAATTGGGGTTGCGCTATACCATTTGCTTCTTTTACTCTCTGTTGATTGCAATTTAATCAGCAAAACAATGATAGGATCATTCGTCGGCGGTCATTCGAGATAGTTCTTTCTTTTTTTTTTTCCCAATATGGGCAGGCAAAAAATCATGTTTGAAAGGGTAACTAAGTGAGTTCTAGAGGAGCTTTCCAAGTTTAATCGTATATACAAGGCCATCTTTTCCAATTCTCTTTGAGCAAAACAAGTCTTCTAAAGCAAAAGTGATGAGGAGTGGTTCATATTCGAGTTTCTACTTGGGACCACTCTTAACTCTGACCATTCGCATTTGACATGCGGAAGAAGTTTTGATTCAATAGTTGTTGGTATTGATTTGATATCTGTGGTCCATTCACATCAGAGTAATCACCAGTGACGCCCAATTGAAAATACCTTCTTTTTCATCGATCTTCAACACATAAGGAGTTAAAAACGCCAGAATAGTTCCCTATAATAATAACAAAGTTCTTTCTATAGTATTGATCTTCAAAAAATTTCAACATACAGAATAAAATTGGGAGAAATTATCCAATAAGACTTAAACCTATTATACGAATGTCAATTCCAAACTAAATTTAGTCAGGAACTTTTGCGCAAAATTTCAATATAGTCTTTCCGGTCAATTTTCGCCAGGAATTATTGACATAGCGGATGCCAAGGAGGACGGCCGGCGATGACTGGACTTCCAACAATTTCATGAGAAAATTGACCGGAATGATTATATTGGAATATCATGCAAAGGTCTATGACTAAATTAGTAAAATTAAAAAGTTTATGACTGAATTGACATTTCCACAATAGATTTTACGACTGATTGGGTAATTTTATTGAAAAAAAAAAACTGTACGAAATAGACACGGTCTTGTGTTGCGCCAGAGACTAGCTAGTTCTAAATTACGAAGAAGATCCTAATTCAACCAAACCATAAAGATTGCAGATGGGTCAGCCCTTAAAAAATAATGTCCTTGGGTCAAATCCCCCTTAAAAAGAAGAACTAATTCTTTAGGTCGGGTCTCAATTCTAGTGCGAATATATATATTTTTGTCTCAAATATAAATGTGTGTAGCTGTACAGAGTAATATACTCCAAAAGAGTCTTTATCCTTTTTGCGGATTCAACTAGGCCTCTTTATCAAATTCTTTCCCCCTCCCTCAAACCTCAATTTGTCTTCCACACCGCGGATGCGATCTCTACGCTCCGAGGCATCCGCCGAAATGGAAGGGAGGGGCTTTAAAGCCGAGCCCTGGGGGAAAATCAGTGTTATCGCGCCTCCATTTGTTTCTCGAAAAAATTTGCAGAGGAAGGAAAGTTTGGAGACTTTTGGAGCGATCTCTTTCTCAGGGTCGACGTTAATGGCGAATCGAAGTATCGAGAGTTCCTAGTTTTTGAATTGAAGACCAAGCGAGCGCTGATTTCCCGCCATTGAAGACGGACCGAAGCAACGTCTTTTTTGGTGCCTTGAATCTCGTTAACCAGCGACGTGGAGGTAACGTACACACCTGTAATTATACGTCGGAGTTTTAACGGGATCATTAGAAGGAAATCTACGCGATCAGATTTGAGTACTAGTGGAAGTTTGTGAATTTTTCATGAAAAAAAAAGAAAATAGATTTATAATTCGATCTAAAATTGATTTCTATTCATTAGGTGATTTGTTTTGTACGTTTTCTTGTGTTCTTTTCGTTTCTGCCAGCTTTATATTCTCTATTAATACCATTTTTGAAA